TATTCGGGGCCTTTTGTGGTTCCATACAAATTTTAGGATAGTTTGTTCTAGTTTTGAGAAGAATGCTCGTGCAATTTTGATTGGAATTGCATTGAATGTGTAGATTGCTTTGGGTAGTAATGACATTTTAACTATATTTATTCTTCCAATCCCTGAGCATGGAATGTTTTTCCATTTCTTTGTGTCTTCTTCAATTTCCTTCATAAGTTTATTATAGTTTTCATCATACAGATCTCTTGTATCCTTGGTTAGTTTATTCCTAGGTATTCTATGGTTTTTTGTGCAATTGTGAATGGGATCAGCTTCTTGAATTCTGTTTCTGTTGCTTCATTGTTGGTGTATAAAAATGCAACCGATTTCTGCATGTTGATTTTGTACCCTGAAACTTTGCTAAATCCTTGGATCAGTTCTAGTAGGCTTCTGGTGGAGTCTGTCGGGTTTTCTATATAAAGTATCATGTCGTCTGCGAAAAGTGAGAGTTTGACTTCTTTGCCGATTTTGATGCCTTTGATTTCCTTTTGTTGTCTGATGGCTGATGCTAGGACTTCCAGCACTATGTTAAACAACAGTGGTGAGAGTGGACATCCCTGTCGTGTTCCTGATCTCAGGGGGAAAGTTCTCAGTTTTTCCCCATTGAGGATGATGTTAGCTGAGGGTTTCTCATAGATGACTTTTATGATGTTTAAATAAGTTCCTGCTATCCCGACTTCTCGAGGGTCTTTATTAAGAAGGGATGTTGTATTTTGTCAAATGCTTTTTCTGCATCTATTGACAGGATCATATGGTTTTTATCTTTTCTTTTGTTGATGTAATGTATCACATTGATTTGTGAATATTGAACCAGCCCTGTAACCCAGGAATGAATCCCACTTGATCTTGGTGGATGATTCTTTTTATGTGCTGTTGAATTCGATTTGCAAGTATCTTGTTGAGGATTTTTGCATCTGTATTCATCAAGGATATTGGCCTGTAGTTCTCCATTTTTGCTGGGTCTCTGTCTGGCTTGGGAATCAAAGTGATGCTGGCTTCATAAAATGAGTCTGGAAGTTTTCCTTTGATTTCTATTTTTTGGAATAGTTTGAGAAGAATGGATATTCTGTTTTAAATGTCTGGTAGAATTCCCCAGGGAAGCCATCTGGCCCAGGGCTCTTATTTGTTGGGAGATTTTTGATAACTGATTCGATTTCCTCACTTGATCTAGGTCTGTTCAGGTTGTTTATCTCTTCCGGTATGAATTTTGGTAGTGATTGTGTGTTTAGGATTTTGTCCATTTTTTCTAAGTTGTCCAGTTTGTTGGCATATTTTTTCATAGTATTCCCTGATAGTTCCTCGTATTTCTGAGGGGTTGGTTGTAATCATTCCATTTTCATTCATGATTTTGTCTATTTGAGTGCTCTCTCTTTTCTTTTTGAGAAGCCTGGCTAGAGGTTTGTCAATTTTGTTTATTTTTTCAAAAAACCAACTCTTGGTTTCATTGATCTGTTCAACTGTTTCTTTGGTTTATATATTGTTTATTTCTGCCCTGATTTTTATTATTTCTCTTCTACTAATGGGTTTGGGATGCTCTTGTTACTATCCCTCTAGTTACTATAGGTGCACTGTTAGATTTTGCACTTGAGCTTTTTCTAATTTCTTGAAATAGGCCTGCAGTGCAATGTACTTTCCTCTTAGGACTGCTTTCACCGCATCCCATAGAGTTTGGATTGTTGTATTCTCATTTTTATTTGTTTCCATGTATTTTTTAATTTCTTCTCTAATTGGCCTGATTGTCCCATTCGTTCTTTAGTAGGGTGTTCTTTAAACTCCATGTTTTTGGAGGTTTTCCAGACTTCTTCCTGTGATTGATTTCGAGTTTCATAGCATTGTGACCTGAAAGTGTGCATGGTATGACCTCAATTCTTTTATATTTATTGCGAGATGCTTTATGTCCCAGTATGTGATCTATCTTGGAGAACGTGCCATGCGCACTTGAGAAGAAAGTGAATTCCAAGGCCTCAGCATGTAGAGTGCTAAATAGATCTGTCAAATCCATCTGGTGCAATGTGTCATTTAAGTCC